GGATTGTTCCCCTAGCTGTCTGTCCCACTTGCTCTTAGGTTCTTCCTCTCTTCCCTACCACTCCTCTTCTTGAGTTGACTCAGCTACTGAAGGGATACAGGCTAGAATCTGCACTTGAAGAGGCTGTAATCAATGACAGGTCAGACGAGTCAGGCTTTGAAAGGTATTGACACTGACATAGAAGACATACTTATAGCTTGTTCAGGAAGCTGAGTCAATTAAAAAAGGGAGGAAAAGTTTCATGATATGATGAAAGCTAAGTAACTGTGCAAAGATGTATGAAAAGAAAGAGGGTTGAAATTACAGTAGACATGTACCACCACAGGCTGCCAAGCTGAAGCATGAGAAAGGTGAAGTTTGTCTGAACTAAGACAACCAAAAGAAGATGGAGACAGGCTAACACAGTAAAATGGAATAGCAAAAACCAACCTCCCCCTGCCCCCAAATACATTAGAAATAAACAGCAAAGAAAAGCAGACATCCATCACTTAATGTAGGAATAGACCAAACACAGCCAAAGAGGAATGCTTGCAATATTCAGGGCTTCAGTCTTTGCAGGAAAGGTTAATTATGCAACAACCATTAATGAAATGCATTTAAAACAAAAGAACTGAGACAAGAAAAGGGTAAGAGAGGGTTAATAGATGGATGTTATACGTATTAAAATCTGACCGAATTTACCCAAGAGTCATTACAGTCTTCAAAAACCCATGGAGGATGGGCAAGGTTCCAGAGTGCTTAAGAAAAGCAGTTAAATACCAAACATAGCTAAAGAAGGACCTGTAGAATTTCAGATGTGGGTATTAACATGCTGACATTATTAGCTACTCTGTAAGCACTTCTAATGTTGCATTACGCTAAATCAGGCTAGCATCTCGATCCCTTCCAGTGCATAGCTTCAACTTCTTGAACCTTGTCTCAGCTTAAGCTTGTGACAAACTAGGGATCATACAGCTGGGAAGCCAGTATAGCTGAGTCCCTCTTCCAGTTTTGGTGAAGACTCCTCTTCAGGATCTATTTACCCTGAGTAAAGAGTGAAGGTGAAGAGTAGCCTCTTCACCTAAACTACCAGTCACATGACAGGAGAATAGCTGTAAACATGACAGCAAGATAAGGTCAACGCTGTGGTAGGAAGTGTGTATTTTCAAAAAATAGGTTTGGGGTTTTTATCTTTTTTAGAAAAATCTTAAAGATAAGCCCAAGTGGCTTATACTGACACTGCCCCTCCTAGTATCTTGAGTTTTGCCACCAGGACTTCCTTGCCTGGTACTGCTTCACAACTACGAATTGTCAAGACTGTTTTTCCAAAAGACCATATCTGTTTTGTATTACATAGCCTTGTCAGCTATTTCAGCAAGCTGTGCTCTCTAACCTAGTTCAGGCTCATTCCTTGGCCTCTCTCAATACATCACAGTCACCATAATGTCTCTGCACGACATCCACCTTGGCTAGCTCCCCTGCTGCAATACAGCCTGAAATATTCCTGAACTGGAGTCTCAAAACTGCAAAATGAAATGCTTCAGCTAGCACATTTTAAAGACAACATTTGTCCTTGTTTGGGCTTGCTGTTGGAGACAGCAGTTAGGATTCAAAGGCTGCAGAAAAATCACCAAAAGTTGTATAGTTCTGGTCTTTATTCTGTGTAACTCACATGAGCCCATTTGCCAGCTCACTCTTAATTGCTGGACTTGTCTGGAGGTAAAAGACTTTGCAAAGCAAAATAACTATTTAACTTGCAAGTCAACACTCACGTTGCAGCAAAAGGAAATGAAAAAATAAACAGACTTTATTGCTGTAACTAAAGCGGTGACTCCATTAGCCCCAACTACAGCTGCAGCTTGATTTCACAAGATCCTTCTGCAAAAACTGAAGATACAATTCTGATATTTAAAACAGTTTTAATAGCAAAGGCTATTTCACACCATAATAAGAATGCATACCTCCTTCTTTTCTAACTTAATTACTCTGTAAACAAAACCAGCTTTGGGCTAAATCCTGCACTCTTTTCTGAATTTGAGGAAATGTCTATTTGCAGAGGAGATGAGATGGCTCACCTGCAAACAGATTCCGCACTCCCTTAACACTGACAGCAGAGAGAAGGCCTAGTTGGAATAGGACTGCATAGCACAAAACACCACAAAACCAGAAACAAATGCCCTTTAAAAAAAGAGAAAGTACAGTCCAGTGTGCAGCAGCCAGGAGTTACTATTACAATAGAGAGTTCTATGAAAACATTAGCTGCATGCTCAATCACGACTCTCTTTCCTTCCTCAAAGCCACAAACAACATCATAAATGCTTGGGAAACGAACATCATTATGACACTGCATGCCCACATGCAATATTCAAGATGTCTTTCATAACCTCAGAGGGATTATAGGAAACTGGAAAAGGTACAGAGAAGTGCAACAATGATGCACAGTGAAGAACCACCAAATAGACAGTATCCTCAACCTCAAATCACTGAATCATTGAGGTTGCAAAGGACCTCTTGAGAGCAACTAGTCCAACCCCCTTGCCCACGCAGGGTCACCTAGAGCTGGTGTCCCAGGACTGTGTCTAGTTGTGTTTTGAATATCTCCACAGATGAAAACTCTACAACCTCTCTGGGCAACTTGTTCTAGTGTTTGACCACCCTCACAGTAAAAAAGTGTTTTCTTGTTTTCAGAAGGAATTTCCTGATTTTTAATTCATGCCCATTGCCTCTTGTCCTGTTGGTGGGCACCACTGAGAAGAATCTGACTCCCTCTTCTTCATTCCTATCAAGTATTTATACACATTGATAAGATGCCCCCCTGAGCCTTGTATTCCAGGCTTAACAGTCCAAGCTCTCTCAGCCTCTTCTTGTACGAAGGATGTTGCAGTCCCTTAATCATCTTTGTGACCCTGCGCTGGACTTGCTCAAGTAAGCCCGTATCTTTCTTGTACTGGGGAGCCCAGCACTGGACCCAGCACTCCAGATGGGGCCTCACTAGTGCTGAGTAGAGGGGAAGGATCACCTCCCTTGACCTGCTGGCAACACTCTTCCTAATACAGCCCAGGATGCTGTTGGCCTTCTTTGTCGTGAGGGTGCACTTCAGCACATGACTAATGAAAGACATAATGTAAGGCAGATAAACCAGGAGACAAATCATGAATGGTTTAGGTAAGACTAAGGACAAATTGTTCACTACCTCTTCTAATACAAAAACCAGCCAGGTGTGAGGTGACAGGTTCAAAAGGACCAAATACATGGTTCTCTCCCAGTGTGTAGTTAAGCTGTGCAACTCTGCTGCAGGAACTTGTGGATACTGGAAGTTTGTGTGGGTTCAGAGTTGGAGGTTCGTGAAAGAAAAATCTATTGTGTTAGTAAACACAGATACAATGTTGCTGAATTAGGAAATTCTTGAGCTGCCAATTGCTGGAGACTAGGAGAATATTTTGAGAAAGAATCACCACCAGATCAGAAGGTGGCAAATACCATAGCCACTTTGCTGCTGTCAAGGATAAGATACTGACCTAGACAAACCCTTTTTACTGATCCAGGATGGCTTCTCTTATGATGAATTGGAAGAGTAGCATGCTAGGCATGAGTGCATCAGCTGCTTTTTTCTGAGTCCATGCCAATCCAATGGACCTACACAGGAATGAAGATTTCAGCTGAGGCAACTCCAACTCCATGGGAAATCCTCAGTGGCAGAACTACCACAGTTCTCCTTTGCAGGAGGTGGGATCCTATGGAGAGCTGTGTAAAACTTGTACATAGTCCACAGGTTCTGGGGATTCACTAGTCATGTGCCGTGAGCGGCAGAACGCTACTTTAGCCAGCAAACTGAAACAGCACTCACAGGGTAGTTGAATCAAATGGATTTCGCCTGCCAATCCCAATTTTCCTGGGGAATAGGATTTGTTTTTTGTAAGCATCTCCTTCGTTCTGAATGCTTATGATTTAAGGTGTTGTTGCATGCTGTGTATGTACAGACTTGTAACAGAAACATATCAGAAGAAACAGCATAACAAAGGGTTAAAAGGCCTGTGTTGACAATTCCAAGGACATAGCTGCCAGCAGTAAACTGAGGAAGGTATTTATGTAAAGACCATAAGGCCTACACTCTTAACACCTCACAGTACAGATGACTTGCCAGCAGAAGACCCTGCATCCTAACATGAGGAGACTGGCAACAAGGCTGCCATGTATCACGTAACATTCATTTTTAAATTAGCCCAACAGCAACAACAGACTACAGATGTGTATTTCAAACACGAAAACGAAAACAACAAAAAAACCCCAGTGGTCAGCAACCTGGACTAAGACTCATGAAGGTGAAGTCAGCAAGAGCTTAACATGAAGGACCACCCATTCAGAACTGACAACTCCTAAAAGATATGAGAGGTCCGTCCAAAGTACTAGGTTGCCATCACCAAGCAAGGAGAACCAGAGCCGTTCATGAGGACTCAAGAGCTGGCATTTCTTGTCCTTTGCATCTCACAGAAACAATACTGGTCAGACTTCCCCCACTCACGCACCGTGGTGCTTGTGAGTATGCAAGTGTGAATTAAGGAAATCTGGGTAAGAGAGTGTGAATGCACAAAAATAACTTGCTTGAAGATTTTGTAAATAAGTATCACCTTCCCTTTTCACAGTTTCGCACACTGAGTTTTATTTTGCTAATTTCGCTACATGTATATTATTACACAAAAGGTAGTGTGTCAATGCATTGCAGATTCTTGCAAGAAGAAAAATGTTCAGCACACTCATCCTTTTTCAGTGCTCTGGGTGTATTTTCCACTCGTGTGGAACACTGACACACAACCTGTAAATTTATTCCAATGAAAAATCTATAAACAAGGAGTTTGTGTATGTTTGTGCAGCAGCTAGGGAAATGAGCTTAAAAAAATACAAAAATTCAGAATTTTGCAGCCTAGCAAAAAATGCTTTCACTTTAAAATGCCCACTAAGTTACCATATATCATGCTACAGAACCATTTACCTCAAAAAATGAAACAACAGTAATTTCTTACCAGTCTCTTTTGCTGAAGCTGTTCTCTAAGTAATCTGTCTTCTGGTAAAACATCACATAGAAGAAAATAATTGTCCTGTTCTTCTGCTAAGAGATTAGGAATTGTGGGTAAGGGATGGGAAATTGCAGCTGCTTTGAATATTTCTGGCACATAATTTGCTAAACCTTTGGAATGTGTTAAGAATGTAAGAATGTTTTTTTAATCTATAAAAGTCAGTTAATTTCATAATTTAATGAAACATGCTTAAATATTTGTATATACATATTTAGAAGACCTTTACATCATTTATATTGCAGTACAAAGACAAAAGTCTTGCATAGGTTTTCCCCACTACCAGCTTTATTCTTTTTTATGATGGTTCTTCTGGAGTCATAAAGCAATTTTAATCATTTATATTGCTTACAGTATGAAGTCAGCATGAAAGAAACATGAAATCACCTTTAATTTTATCTTGCATGTGGGATTTTCAGTTATTTCCCTAAGTAATTGTCAGTTTTCAGTAGTTATCATCATTTGGTATACCCTCCCCTCACCCTGACCGATCACATTACCTTTTACCATCAGATCTTGTTCTGTCTGCAGATATGCACCACAACTGTTTAGTAACACGCATTGAGACTTGCCTAATTTACATTTCTACTTACATGTTTTTCCCACATTTTATGTTTACAAACCTTTTTACTATTTATGTTCATATCCAATTTAATAGTAAAACAAATCTTATTCAAATGAATTACCTTAAAATTACTCAGCATGTAAGAAAATATAAAAACACTTACAAAAATATTTTGCATTTGAAAGTTAATCATTTATTAATCAAAGGGTTATGTGGTTGGTGAACTGAAGTGACCATTATTAAGTCTTTTACAATTTTAAACTTGCTACATTTCAGCCTTTCCCATCTTTTCATACAGAAGCCTGTGTGAAGAAGAGAAACCCCCTGATTTCGGAGCTATCAAATTTGAAGGAGATAGCCATTAAAATTAACAAATTTGTTAACAAACAAACAGCGAAGTATTCTCATTGTCCTCTGGAAGGGCTATTGATGGTTTATAATTCTGGCAAGCTCTGGCATTCAGGCACTTAATTTGCAATTTTCAAACTGAGTGGTAAGTGTTAAAATTTCAGAAGCAAAAACATACATATGTAAGAGAATTGCAATTATGGTCTTTGGAGTGATTTTCATGTTTTCTGGGACTATTTTTCTTAAAATTAATTTGAATAATTAAACCAATTTATTTTCATCCATTTTGTACTCAGTTTTCACCTTCCACCCATCTCTGACACTGGCTGCATGCATTTCTTCCTGTCTTTTAAGCTCTCCATGGAGAATTAAAGATGCAGAAAAGACCTAATATTTTATTATCTGCTTTTAGGTAAATTACATTTTTCTGTTAGAAAAGGGGAAGCCAAAGAAATGCATCAGCTACTTCTGAGAAAAACACTTCCTTCGCACAGTCATCATTGTCCTTATGATGGAATGTCCCACTACACCAACGCAGCAGAACAGTGAAGTATGGTCTTTGGTCTCGTGTTGGAGCCCAGAAAATGGCAGTCTTTGTACCCTTACCGTGAAGATATTGTCTCCTAATAATAATCCTGAGGCAGTAAGCACTGTGGCATGGGAAAGGAAGGGCGATTGTGGCCCCAGTGTCCAGGAAGAATTAGTGTCATCAGTGGGGGTGGTGGACAGGGTGAAGTCGGAAAAGACAGCTCACTGGGAATGTTTCTCCACATTTCTGGAAGGACTGTCACCAATTATTTATGCAGTGGGTACCAAAGCTTCCACAGCCATGATGTAAGCAGCACTGCTTCTAGGCCTTGATTTGCAACCGGCCCTAATTCGGCAGCGCATTTAAGCCTGTATTGAGCTCATCCTTACTCAGCACAGTGCTGAAGCACGTGTTGCAATCCTTGGAAAAGGTAAGTTTAAATACGTGGTTAAGAGTTAAACATTACTTCTGCGGTTTTCTGACCTAGTGTCAGATTACTTGACACTTGGCTGATCAAAGCAGCAGTACATGCCAGAAATTATCACATGACCTGGCCAACAGAGAGTAAGCAAGCAGCATACTTACCTAATGGAGCTTCTGAATTTGTTCTTATCACACTACAAAAGTCTGTGATGGGCTGTTCTGCAAATCTCTTCTTCCAGTACAAGATGTATCTGTAAAAACAAGGGAGACATGATTAGTGAAAAAGGAAACTCAAAAAAAGTTTAATAAACAGTTGATCATCTCTTGGTTTTTCCATCCTCTAAATTATTTACAGTGTTTTGTGGTTTTTTTTAATTCCTGTCTCTGTTTTTTCTTCCTTTAATCTAGTTTTCCACTTCATTAAATTCATTCAGCTTCATTAAAACTGGGTTTAACCATCCTGTCAAAGTGAAGAACTCAATAAGACTTGCATACTCAAGAAGAACCCAGTAAGATTTGCATTAAGCTTTACATAAACACTGTGACCTATTCACATCTTCAGACCGAAGTGCCACTCAGATGCATCTTTACTGAAAAGATATACTACAGAGTACTCTCAAATTCTCAAAATATTGTGGTCTGTGTTCTGCAAGATGCAGGCAGCAATCTGAAACTCCGTAGAAACACCAACTTGTCAAAAGCGAGGTTTTGGCAGGTCTCCTGTGGAGTTACAGTGAAAGCTGTAGCTTGGCAGACAACTAGAAAGACGGAAAAATGAAGTCCCCAAACACCTGGGGATGGGATAGCAGACAGAATACGGAAAGCCCTAAACACATCTTAAAGATTTAACCCATCAACTACAGTTGTTTAGAAACACTCTTGTACTATCATTGTATTATAGCAGCATTAACAGACCCCAACTGAGATTAGGTTCCCACTGAACTAGAAGCCACTGTCTAACCAAGAAGAAATCATCACCTTCAATTGTATGATGAAGGGAAGCAAGCAATCCTTGTGCTAATTATTCAGAATCTTACTACAAAAAACTAATCTGAAAATGCTTAAGTGCATGTTTATATTTATACTTATGACTCACGTGCGTGGTATAAATCATAGAATCATAGAATCATTAAAGGTTGGAAGAGACCTCCAAGATCATCGAGTCCAACCATCAACCCAACAACACCATGCCCACTAAACCATGTCCCTAAGCGCCTCATCTACCCGTCTTTTAAATACTTCCAGGGATGGTGACTCAACCACTTCCCTGGGCAGCCTGTTCCAATGTTTAACTACTCTTTCAGTAAAGAAATTTTTCCTTACATCCAATCTAAACCTTCCCTGGCGCAACTTGAGGCCATTTCCTCTCGTCCTTTCATGTGAGAGTCGGTAAGGTAAAGGCTAACTATTCAATGACAGCTTCCTATTGACATGCCATCAAATTAGGAAAAGAATCACAAAAGATCAGGTATGACTACTATGAGGACATTCCTAAATAGTTGCAGCTTTTAACACTTGTGCAAGCTAAAAGTTTACTTGCCACAGCTATGACATCCCATGGTGGTTCATATTACCTCTAGTTACCATCTATCTTACTATATGAGGACTTTAACTGCAGCAGCCAAGGAATCAGCGCATACTTGTTTCTGCTAACTTTGACATGGAGAGGATTAACCTCCGGTAAAGCAGACAGCTAAGCACAGTGAAGCCAGCATGCACGGCTGAAGCTCATTCAGAGGCATCATTAGATGTCAGTGAGTGAGAGGTGAGCGTTTTGTTGCCCCCCGCTTACTCCACTGCTTATAATGCACAGGGAAACAGCCTTGCTGCTACACAGAACAGCGAGTCTTCCAGAATAAGCCAACCTCGAGCTTTTAGGACATAAATGTGCAAATGAAGGGATTTCAAGATGTCATTTCATCTGTCCCCTGCACTGAAATAAATGAACACACAGACAAACTCACCTAACCATAACCGTCTGTGCCATGAAGCTTACTGTTAAGGGATTTTGTATCATAAGACTTAACCCAAATAATCAATGATCAAATAAAGCCAATGCCTTGTCATACTTCCAGGGAGAGAGAACGAGTGATCAGTGTCCATGAGTGATCATGTCCAGTCATGCAGTGGAAGCTTATTCCCCTTATCTCTTCATCTTGCCCTAATGCCAACTTATCTTTATTCTTCCAAGTTAAAAAAAAAAAGTTTTCCATTAGCATTGCTCTTCTCTGGATTCTCCACTTCTTGTAGTTCTGTCAAGAAATGTAACCCTATGACTGATTGTAACTCATTGATAAGTATAAAAAAACCCCTACGTTTTCATAGTTGCTTCCCTGTATTTTCCACACTTCAGTTTAACACCTCAGACTATACTTCCTTTTTTTGTGCTTAGTATTAGACTATTTTACTGATATTCAGTACAGTAAATAAGAGAAGGCACACTTCAGAGTAACAACGCCATCATTTCACATCCTGGGGCCACTCTCTATTAGATTTGCCTACCTTCCAATTGCATTAGCAGCAAAAAGAATCTAAATGGACATTTTCTTGAAAAGGTGATTTTAAAATACATTTCTATTAACACAGAATAATCCCCCAAACACACTTAAACTGGTGGTCCATGACTGAGCAGCTCTGATCCCTTTATTTATCTGAGGAAACTAGCATTATCTCCAAAGAACACTGCATTCTTATTCTGCCGTCTTTTGGCATAAAACCAAACAAAAACAAGTATCAGTTTTCAATTTTAAGCAACGTTAAGCTCATACATCTGAATAAGGATTTATATGGCTTACATTTCTCTTCCTAAATCTCATCTTAATATTTCTTTTTTTTTGTATCTTAATAGACACAAGTTACCGGCTTTGGCTGAGTAACTGATCACAGAAGACCTACCAGAAAACTCCTTTTAGTTGAGAAATTATCCAGCTAACATTTAAACACTGCAACATAACTATCTACAAACTGGCAGGTACTGTCTAGCCTACTGCCTGGCCCATACATAGCTGTGTGTGAAAGCAAAATGCCAAGCAAGTGCCTAGCCTCTGAAGTTACAAGCCAGCTGGGGCCATGCCAGCTACTGGAGGAAGTTAAGAGAGAGAAAGCCAAATGCGACCCTGCTGAGATGATCAATGACACAGCTGTAGAAGGAGTCACAGTTGTATGTAGATCACAGTACTGTAAAGTATAGTTAAGGATTAAATGTGATTTCTATGGGGAAATACTGGCATCCTTAAAATAGGGCAAATGAATTTCATCCCAGAATGTGAGAAATCCTGTACTGAGCAGCTTCTGTGTACAATATGCAGCTTTAGGACATCGTACAGTGGTAGAAATAGTCTTATCCTATACGAATAAAATCCGAAATTAGGACAGTTGATTGTCTAGAATGTGCTTTAAAAAATAAACAGCTTTTTAGCTTGTACACAACTTCTTGATTAGTGACAGGACCTGAGAAGTCCCTAGGATATGTCAAAGAATGTCTAACACAGGAATTGCCCTGTATTCTAATACTGAGTGCCCTGGTCCCAGCAACACCTAGGGGCTGGGGAGTGGGAGGGGAATGGGAAAACAACCTTACAATCTAGCAACAAAAAGCTCATCAAGAAAGTAATAAAAATACTCCCACAACACCCCACTGCTTTTTAAAGTATTTTAAAAAGATGATCTCTAGTTTTCTGAAGCTTTCTATAATATCACATACACACTCATTTTAAACAATAAAACCCTTACCTTCTAAAATCTGCAACCAGTTTCACATCGGCTATGACGAGCTTGTGTTCAATAATCATGTGCTTCAGGAGCTGGTTTTGTTCTGCTAAGAGATAGCATTCTTTGCAGAAAATACAAGGCACATAGGGAGAACTTTCTACAGCAGCAACACCACCTGGACTTTCTGGCAGAGATAGAGGCTCCAAAATACACTCTGTATCTAAAATAAATAAAACGAATAATTAATTTTGACTAAGTGAATAAATCTACATCACTTGGAGTACTTTTAGCCAGTAGATGTAAAACCTGTTTTGTTGGGTCCCAGTTTTGTTGCATGAATCACTCCAGCAACAAGGTGCTTGGAAACGAGTTGACTGCATTATTTCCAAGAAGGACGGTGGGAGGTTAGCACAGGACAGTTCTCAAGTATTTGCTCCAACTGAAACTCCCAGCTGACACCAAGTCAAACAGACACAAGTGCTCTGCTTATTACTAAAGGAAGTTTTATGATGAGAAATCTACTTTTCTTCCTCTCACTACCTAGTCTACCTGTTGATATGAATGAAGCTACCCTCTTTGCCACATTCTTCATACTATCAGGAAGGCTTTAGATTGTATAGCACAAACTGTTTTGTATGTTAATTTCTCCTAATTATACTTTTATTTATTGCACAATACTTCTATCATTTTCTGATTGACTCTTGAAGGTCTGTATGCATTTATCTTGCCTTTGTTTTTCCCATTAGCATCTCACTTACTATTCTGTGACAAAGGAAAAGACTAATCTTGATAAAGATTACTGACACATGGCAGCTTATGCCCACTGAAACATTTCCTAGCTGTACAGATGTTGAGGAGGGGCCAGCTATGCCCTATGTGGAAAGGTCAATGGCCCGTGTTTACTATACTGCACCAGCCAGATATAGGTTGCTCAAATGACAGCACACAGAGGCGAGTCACTGGCTGATGTTCTCCAGGTTCGCTGCTGTTCGTAGTTCAAGAAGTGGGTGGATTGCACAGTACTGCAGTGGTATTGCAAACAAGCAGACTGAGCCAGGGTCTATGTGTGTCCCCCATTTAAACAACAGCAGTGTAAATTCATAAGCTCTTCCACTGGTATAAATTAATATAATTCATTAAGAAACACCGTGTGACCAACAGATTTCAACAGCTGGCCCCATTAGCCTAACCAAATTCCAGTTGTCCAGAAATAAACCATGGTATTCATTTTCCAAACAAATCATATCTCAGTCTTCGGTAAGGGTTTATCTTGGAAGCAAATGCCAATTTCAGTATATATCTTTGATTTTAGCTACATCAATTTTGGATAGCAAAAGGAGAGTAAAAGCAAACAGAAAAAGCTCCCCAATAGTTCCTGCACTCTGAGGATGAAAACTGAAAAGAAAACATCATGTCTCCTTGATTCTTGTGATATGAAGTTAATTTGTGCAGCAGGAGAATAAATTCCATGCCTCCAGATTCCTGCAATGACATGAACACCTCTGTAAAGAAATGAAATTTCACAGACTCACAGAATGGCCGAGATTGGAAGGGACCCCTGGAGCTCATCTGGTCCAATCCCCCTGCTCAAGCAGGGCCACCTAGAGCCAGCTGCCCAGGACCATGTCCAGATGGCTTTTGAGTATCTCCAAGGATGGAGACTCCACAGCCTTCTTGTGCTGTGTGCTTGGTCACCCTCACAGTGAAAAAGGTGTTTCCTGATGTTCAGACAGAACCCCCTGGGTTTTGGTTTTTGAAGATATCAAAAGAATTAAGAAAAAGGCCTTCTCCCAAGCCTATTATTTTGTCACACAGGAATTTTAAGATGTGTAAGGTTAAAGGAAGTTTAATTAACAATATTTATCAGATAGAAGAATCAATGTATGACAATTTTCACCCTACAAAATTCACATGTATGTATTATATATTGGCAAGCACACCAAATCTGACAATTGGATAACTTGTCCACATGGAAAACTTGAAAAATAATTTAAAAATCATAGCCATTTAGCTTTTTTCCCTAGGAAAATAAGCTAATGAAGTAGTGCTCCTCCCCATCCTCTGCCAAGACTTTGAAATAACCAAAGAAGGGCTGCAGTTGCAGAGATAGACCTGGGAAATTCCTGAAAGTTCCGTGATAAATTTCAGGTAAAGGAAGAGGCACGGAGAGGGGAAAAGGACTCTGCACATGCTGTTCAGCAGCAGCTGGCCAGCCAGTGTGGACATGTAGTGCTCCAGAGCAGGCACAGTGTGTGCTGATGCCTGCCCGATGAGGGTGCTGCAGGAGACAGAGGGTAAGCTGGAGCTACTGGGAGCCACGGGTGGGAAAGGGTACAAAACCATAGTAAATACAGCTTCATCAGTTCCATACTGCTCCTGGAACAACATATCTGCCCTGCACAACTGTTGAGGCTTCTACTTACGACATTTGAAAAATAAAACTTCCTGGAAAGGCAGTGACTTGGCTGAAGACTGATGGTCAGGTTACACTGAATTCAGTTTATCCCATAAAACTAAGCAGCGTGGAGAGATGGCAGCACACAGAGCATGGCATTACCTGGAGCAATACAACTGCTGTTAACAATCGAACATTCTTCCTCTCATAATTTTACCTGCACTTCAGCCCATTCCCTTCCCCCAGACATTTCTTTATTAAACTGGCATTACATAAATTGTTCCATTTTTTCCTACTTTAAGAACAGCAGCTGCTACACTAAGTGCTAGAGCAATTGTCATGAAAGGGTCAGCTCTCCCAAGCAAAACTGATGTTACCTGCAAGACTCTAGGTTTGTGCATTCTTACAGTCAGTATTAGTTTGTAGCCTGAAGAATCATTAAAACATGTTTACTGAGAAAAGTAGAGCAACTTAATTTCCTTTGCAATTGCTGACTCTCACTGATGCCAAGAGAACTAAGAAGACACTCTGTCAGCCAGTTCAGCTGTGCCCAGTAAGCAGCTACACTGCTTTTTGTTCGTTTTTGGTTTAGGTCTCTTGCAATGACCTATTTAAACATTTAGAAGTCCAAATAAACAAGTGCCTATCTGCATCAACAAACCAACTTTCAAAAGGTAGGTGTGTGTGGCATGAACTGCTACTCAACTTAGACAAGGAGCCAATACAGTTATTTAGCATGAGTACTCGGGAATAGCAATTGTTTGGGTTGGAAGAACAGAGCTGTTAATCTTTAATTGTAGCGGTGAGTTGCAGGAAGGATCAAACTGGGGTGAAGATTTTTTTGCTGCCTTTTTTGCTGCCCAAAGAGAGTAGCTAATACTAAAAGAGAAGAACTTAAATAGAGACTACTGGACCAGTGTGGCAATTGCAGAAGCTTATGCAATTTATTTCAAAGGCACTTAAAGGAGGAGGTGAGGGAAAAAAGAATCCATGAAAATATCTTTGTGCTCATCTGCTGCAAAAAACACTGAACAAGAGAATAAATGCATGAAGCTGAACAAAGATGCACAGCCTTTAGCGTAGCACTTAATGGACTAACACATAACGCAAACATCAAAATAGTACAAATAAAGCTAAGCATATTATTGAAATCTCCGCAAAAGCAGCTAATTTTGATGCTATATTTGGAGCAGAGTGGCCACAGGTACTGAAGAAAAGCTGTTAACTAAAGCACACCTAAGGGCTAACAGGGAAATAAAAACACTCAGATCGAGTTCTCGGACTCCACCAGGACTCCCACGTGCAGAGGCACTTGAAAATGAGGGAAAAGCAGCGACCTTTTCTCTTAAAATCTACTACCACAAGAATGACTTCACAGGGTCAGATTAAACATCCGTCTAGTGCAAGTGCCCTGGCTGACAGTGGCAAGAAGCAATTACCTAGGGAAGTGTATAAAAATGGGGTAAACAAACAGTAATCACACAAATAGCATAGTCTTCCAGAAATCTGAGGGTGGAGAGTTTAAGTCACAGGCTGTACATGTACCTCAGTTTAGCAGCATTCTATGGCTTTCTTTTTTCCATGGATTTGTTTCAGCACTGTTTGAAATTGTCGGTCTTTAACACCTACAAAAACCTGCAGCAACATTTCACATTCTCCTAAGGGTCCTTCACTCCTTGTTGCCATTGTTCAGCTCTTGGCTAGGTCTACTCTACCCTTCTTCATGTGCTGAGGCGGGGGCTGGTTTGAAAACGCCCCAAGTGTGGCAGAAAATGGATTTCTAAATCAGTGCAGTTTTTCCTCAGTCTCTTCTCTATCTCTTTTTTATTCCTAGCATTTTGCTTGCTTTTAGGATCATTGAATTAACCACTGAATTATATTCAGTGATTTCAAAGTCTCAGAGAGTTGTGAATCAGGTGTTAATGTACAAGACAGTGGACATATTCTTTGTGTTCACTCCCATGTGTGCTACTCTGCATTTGTTAACACTGAATAGCACTTTTTTTTGTCCAGTTCACTCAAATACCATGAGATTCTTCTGCAATGCTTCAGTTGGCCCTCCTGCTTACCCCTTGGGAAAAAAAAAAGTGTATTAACAGCAAAATTTACCACCTAACCCCCTTCCTATTTGTGTCTGTGGTGAACAGCACAGGAGACCTAGCTCCCTATGAGAACAGGGTCCTATAAAAACCATCCATTAAGTTTCTGCCGAATCATCCTGTCAGCACTTGAGTTTTCCTCCTCTGCCTAATGGAAAAACAGCACGACTGTTACGCAAACAGATATCCCAAAGGCTTCACAGAAAGCCCACCGAACTCAGGAACTAAGAAAATCCCTCTCTCATTCACAGAATTGACAGTTGACACCATGTTGTTCAACCTTTAACAGGATAGATAAAATTGTGGTCTTTTACAGCTAATTCAGAGCTAAAAAATGTAGATTAGTATAAAGAAGAGACTAGAGGAATATATTCTTTGAAAACAAAGACTAAAAAGTATACTCAGTTCTTCAGGGGAAAATAAAATTAATAATTTGAAGACATTTGACGAGATGATATAGAAAATGATTTGGATTATACAAATTACTTTCAGAACTAGAATAAGCACTATTTTTTGTTATAAGCACCCATAGGATACCTAGTGCAATGGAAACCTGATCCCTGCACCAGAACTCTACACACCATTACAACACTGATAAAAGAAAATGATAAAAGAAAAGGCTGCCTGTTATAGAAATTATATGGCTTTATTTTATTTTAAGTGTTGTTATAATATGGACTAGTTAAACTTCACAGCTAATGAAGCAACAGGCTGAA